CACTAAAAGTAATGCAGCTGCCTTCTGTGATGAACTATCTTAAATATCAATAAAGTCATTTTTCTCCTCATGAAATTTTATTATGATTTTATTCATCCTAACTCACATATGATGCTATAGTTTTTTCAGCATAGATATCTTTTGTTCCCCAAACAATATAGATTAAAACAAATTACATATAAAAATCAACAACTGTAATACTTGTTATTGATAAGTTTCATAAAAGTTATACTACAGAAAAATTTCACAGACCTGTTTGATGATATACAAGTGCACATAATTTTTTTTTTTTTTTTTTTTTTTTTTGAGACAGAGTTTCGCTCGTTACCCAGGCTGGAGCGCAATGGCGCGATCTTGGCTCACCACAACCTCCGCCTCCTGGGTTCAGGCAATTCTCCTGCCTCAGCCTCCTGAGTAGCTGGGACTACAGGCACGCGCCACCATGCCCAGCTAATGTTTTGTATTTTTAGTAGAGGCGGGGTTTCACCATGTTGACCAGGATGGTCTCGATCTCTTGACCTTGTGAGCCACCCGCCTCGGCCTCCCAAAGTGCTGGGATTACAGGCGTGAGCCACAGCACCCAGCCCCAAGTGCACATAATTTTTAAACTTACTGCTTGACGTTTAAGTTATAGATGGCTTCCTGAAATGGGCCACTTTTTCTTTTTTTTTTTTTTTTTTTTTTGAGATGGAACTTTGCTCTTGTTTGCCAGGCTGGAGTGCAAAGGCTTGATCTCAGCTCACTGCAACATCTGCTTTCCAGGTTCAAGTGATTCTCCTGCCTCAGCCTCCTGAGTAGCTGGGATTAAAGGCATGTGCCACCATGCCTGGCTAATTTTTTATTTTTTTAGTAAAGATGGGGTTTTTCCCTGTTGGTCAGGTTGGACTTGAACTCCCGACCTCAGGTGATCCACCCACGTCGGCCTCCCAAAGTGCTGGGATTACAGGCATGAGCCACTGCGCCCGGCCTACTGGGCCACTTTTTATATTTCCGTTGTTGACTTTGCAATTGTACCTCTTCCATATAAGCTAATACTTAGCATTCTAGCTCTAGTCTTGAAGACTGCAAGAACAAATCATGTACTTATTTTAAAATGTGTAGACTAAAACTATAGGGTTTTGTTGAAGTCGCCTGTCAAAATCTACTTAAAATGCCCGGATAAATATGTATATAACTAAGATGTACCAGGTACAGAAGGCCCCAGCATGTCTTTACCCAATTTTTAAAACTCTAAATATCCAAGTTAATATAATATTTCTGTGTTTAAGTGAGAAAAACTCTTAATGCTTTTTTTCCTTCAATCAATTCAGATTTTCCTGAGAATAAGCAAAGCTTCTGGCTGGGCGTGGTGGCTCACACCTGTAATCCCAGCACTTTGGGAGGCCAAGGCAGGTGGATCACAAGGTCAAGAGTTCGAGACCAGCCTGACCAACATGGTGAAACCCTATCTCTACTAAAAATATAAAAATTAGTTGGGCGTGGTGGCACACGCCTGTAATCCCAGCTACTCAGGAGGCTGAGACAGGAGAATCGCTTGAAACCGGGAGGTGGAGGTTGCAGTGAGCCAAGATCACACCACTGCACTCCAGCCTGAGTGACAGAGCGAGACTCTATCTCAAAAAAATAAAAAATAAAAAAGCAAAGCTTCTTTAAGTTTTATCAAACACAAAGAAATCAATTTAAAATATAGTGGAAAAGTGCAAAAGGGTCAAAATCTTAAAAACTGTTAGTAAATTATAGTTGTCTTATTCTTATGCCATCTGCAGACTCCTGAATAAGGATTTTCCCAAGGTTCATACTACTGCTATATCCACCGGCTTCTAAAATAGGTTAAAAAATGCAGATGCTGAAAACATATGAACTCTATTACCTTTACAATACTGAGATCAGACTGTAAGTCTATTGACATAGCTTCAAACTTACAGACATCCGTGAAGAGACTAATTTGCAATTTTCCCCTTTTAAAAGGAATACTACTTCTGATGCAGTACTGATATAAAATAAATGTATCCTTTGAGCATAGCAAAAAAAATCTTTTGAGCATAGCTGGAAAAGTTTTAGTTTTGATTTAAAATCTGAAGTATCGCCGGGCGCGGTGGCTCACGCCTGTAATCCCAGCACTTTGGGACGCCGAGGCGGGTGGATCACGAGGTCAACAGATCGAGACCATCGTGGTCAACATGGTGAAACCCCG